CCCGTTCCTCAGGCTCTGTAGATTCGCGCCTCGGGTGTTTAGCCGGAGCCGGCCTGACAGGGCTGCAGCGAGCCTGGAGGCAAAGCTCCCTGCCGGCGGGCAGCCCGCATCTCGTCCCTTTCCCTTCCCCAGCAAAGTCTAAAATCCATCTTTGTGCAAAAATGCCTGTGCCCGGGCCTGAAAAACAATGCCCGGCTCAACAGTCAGCGAACAAAACACGAGCAACAAAAAGACACGTGCACAAAGCAGGGAGACGGTACCATCAGGCAGCCACGGAGCACCAGATGCTTCCGTTGAGTTGGGCTGAGGTAAAGCTGGTGTCCGTTTCGGTCCGCCGCACCCCGGGTCGGGCCGGTGTACGCGGCGCTCAGGACTCGGTGCGGGCCCGGCCCGGCTCTGGCCGGTTCTCCTCACCTGTAAATGAAGTTAGACTTAAGGTCAACGATGTTCATTATTTAGCGTCATTGATCAAAAGATGGATAGGTTATATTGAACTGGTAACATAGGACATCACTCGGGAATTCGTTTTGAATCTTCCCAGCTCGTAGAGATCACATACCATATAAAATATAAAACATGCATTATATATATATCTATATATAGATAGATATAGATATAATTTCTTGTTGCTGAAAGGGAAAAGAAAGCCTCTGAATTTTCTAAAGAAATTTAAGCAACATCAGGTACCATATTTTACCTGATATGAAAACAGATTCCCCCCCCCCCCCATTTATTAGATACTATGGATTGCTGTTTTGAACTTGCTCTTGCTCTTGGGGCATTGCTTTTTTTAAGTAACAAATAGTAAACTGGAAAATTAATTGCAATACTGTCAAAGGTAACTACATTTTTAACTGATTTGGACCTGTCTAACATCCAACAACTAATACCGAGGGAGCTACTGTAAGCATACATTTGCCTCATACATAAATAGATGAAAAAAGTGACAGAAGATTTTCTTAAATACTGATTGATGATTTCACCACAAATAATTTTTATCATCCAATTTTTTCTTTTCACCTTCTTGAAAATATTGTTTAATATATTACTTTCTATTTAAAATTCTTTAAAAATATTTGTACATGTAATTTAACCATATCCTTAGATATTGTAGAAGACTGGTGAAATTAAAAAATACATTAAAAGTTACACTCATTTTCCAAATGCCTTATTTCTCATTATTTTCTTCATAGGAACTTCTGCCCTGAACGTACTCATTGCATCAAAATGATATTGTGTGAAATTATGCCAAAATCTACACCATGTTTTCACACACATCTACCCCTATAAAAATTGAGTAGGCAGCTAAGGACAAAATTCAGCTCATTCATACTTCCTATTCCAATATGATGTTTATATGATACTGGACACCAAAAAATACCACAAAAGATTTTATGGTAAGTTGGTAGCAATCCACTCAGAATTGCTAATGAATCATAAAATCAAATTCTAAGACTAAAATCATTATTTACTCAGCGATCTAAAAATTCAAGGAATAGAAAACCAAGTTAAAGGATATCGACTTTATGCTTATAATACATTCTCATTTCAGAAAGAATGTTTTCTTTTTTTACTATTAGAGAATGCGTTATCCAGTTTTTCTGGCCTCAGGCAAGTTTCCATCATAGTTTGCAACATCTGCTTTTAGCTGACCAGACTTTAAAGTTTAAAGCAATAATACAAACAGTTCACTTTTAAAGCTATTTTTTCTTAGATTCCCTTCCCTAGGTGGCATTTCCCTCAACACATACACACAAATCACATAAAATATATAGCAAAGGAGCCTCTCAACAGCTCAGAGACAGTTTAATTTTTGATTTCCCCCAAGCCCAACATCTGATCTGCCATATGTTTTGAATCTTTCCAGCTCATAGAAATCACATACTAAGTCATAAACTTGCATGTTCTGGAGCAATGTGACTAGAAAATCAAGAACACCAGAAAGTCATTGGTCAGTGATCCATATAACAGTAGAATAATATATAGCTGTACCAAATATACAACTGTTAAAAGCATCAGAAGTTCTGTGAAAGTTACAAATTGAGCAAAGCAGTTTTTAGATGCAGAAAAACACTAAAATGGAATTAGGATGACTCGTAGTTATGCTCCCTCCGTCTCCTATGATTTCTGAGAAATAAATTACCTCTGCCGTCTTATATACGATGGAAATTATTTTAAAGCATTAGAAAATCTTCTGGTCGAGATTATGACTACTGAGGGTTTTTTTTAAAAACCTCCTTCCTTCCCCCATATTCAAGACATCCAGAAATATTTGCAGCTGTCTATAACTTTTCAAACAAATTCAGATATAAAAATGTGGCAAATGGTCATCCAATTAGATTATACATTTTGGAAGAAGAAGGGTGCAGCTTGGGAGAGTTCTTCCAATTTTATGTTTACAAGCATTGACAACTAGAGGCGTGACGTCTCACAAACCCTGGAAAAACTTAACCTTATTCATGCAAGTTGAAGTTACTCACGTGCATAAGTATTTGCAAGATTAAGAGGTCTTCAGAGAGCTAAATACAGATCCCTTTGGAACCTGTCACTACCACTCTGCATGTCAGCCAGAGGGAATCTCCCAGAAGTAATGCGAAGCACTCTTCTCCAGGGGCTAAGCTAGCCTGCTGCTTTTGCAATGTAAGCAGTACCTACCCAGGCAGTTCAGGTCCTAAACTCTGATTTCTAAATGACTGGTCCGAGATAAATGCATTTGAGTTAACGTTCACTTCTTCCTGAGGGTCTGGATAATTCTACTTTTATATATATTTTTACCTTTTTTTTCTTTTTGCTGTTTCACAGCCATATTCTGTCTTATTTGTGACTGAATTTTTGCTTTGAGCTCTTCAACAGAATAGCCACTGTTCATTATGCAATGCTTTTTTATAAAATTAAATCAATATGATAATGGATAATAATATTAATATCCTAACAAAAGGCACAAAGCAAGAACTTTCTGTAGTCACACTAAGCCTCCATTCTTAACATTTCTCATCATGCTCAAGTATTAAAGTGCATGTTACTTTATTGCTCAGTGTTTAGTGATATAATCAATTCTGTATCTGAACTATATATGACTTGCAATGTTTGTAAGCAGAGCTGTAGCAAGGCAGTTTGATGCCCAGGACAAGCCCACAACTGCAGCCCATCCTTGCCCTGTGCATAGATCTGGGGGGGCACATGTTCCCCCCCCCCATGCTTGCCCAGGGGTGCACACAGTCGTGGGAGCTGCCCCATCCCCACGCCCCTCCGCAAACAAGGCGCTCGCTGCTCTGTCCTGTGCGCCGCCCAGCCCAGGACAGTCACCCCACTTGCCCCTCCCTTGCTATGGTACTGTTTGTAAGTATCTTATAACTAGAAATATTTTACTGAGTTCCACTTTTCACAGAGGCATTAAAAAACACCATGCAACAAAATGGTGTTCCATTTTATTAATTATTATTTTCTCTGCTAGATTCTTATGTACTTTATGTAACTGTATTAGATGGCTGACATTTGGATTCCAGATGCTATGAGGGTTCATTCAACTTGTTAAGTTTTCCTTGTAAATATATCGTTTCAAATTGGAAATTGTAATTCAAGTGTTATAGGCAGAATTCTTTTGAAACCTTCAAAATAGAAAAGCCACATTTAAAATTTTACATAAATATGCAGTATAAAATCTGCAGAATTAACATAGGTTTACACAACTTCTTCCTCTAATACTTCACTAAGTTGTGAGGAATTCCAACAATTTAGCTAACATGAAGTACTTTTAGAGACCATAATTCTTCAGTATGCTCTAGATAGGCACAGGGGACACAAGCTATTATGCCTTTTTGTTTACAAAATATACCTGTATATAGCCTCTGAAGGGAAACACCATTTTTGCCCACCTTTTAAAATTATACATGTATATCAATTTCATGTTGTATCCAGGTTTGACTAATTCTTTAATTCCATCCGTATTGTCTTTCAAAGATCCCATAGAGTCAAGGGTGGACTGTCATATTGTCACACAAAGTAGAAGTGCCTGATCCTTGAAATCCTTATTTATATGAACATTCCTTAATCAAATCTATACTCTGATTGACTTCAAGTTTTTGAGTAGTGTTTTCTTTGTCAGACTCCTGCTTCCATTCACTGCAGCAAAAGAGGAAGTGCCAGTTTGAAAAGCAAACGTTACAGAATAGGCTGGGAAGTGAAATTTTTAGGAAATAATTTTTCTGGTACTGGAAAGCTACATGAAAAGCTCACCGTTACAGAAGATTTAAAATCTCTCAGAGACATCTGTCTGTTCAAATGACTGATGAAAATCTCAAAGATTTGAGTGTACAGTCCTAAAATAATACTACCTTTTACAGTACATTCTTCCTTACATGTCCTTCCGTTGCCTCACTGCCTGAGTTCATGCTCTGATAAGTGATGAAATACTTTGACAGGTGATGTGTATAATAGTTGAACAACAGATTGGGAGCCAGAAAACCTGGACTCTGTTTGTGACACTGTGACCCTTTGCAAGCTGTTTAACATCAGCTTGTTCCAGTTTTCTCATCTGAACTTATGCTCTTTGTTTCATGGGACCCTGTGTGAGTAATCAAGGAACAGCTCCCTGCTTAATATAAACACTGTCTTTATTATAGCAGTTTCTTACAGAGCTGTTACAGGGCCTACTGTTCACCCCTAGCCTCTCTAACTCTCGTTTTTCCTGTCTCCTCCCCCTCACTTCCTGTTCCTCCTTCAGACTCTTTTCTGCTGCTGCTAGTTTTGCCTATGAGATCCATACATATTGTTACATCTTTTCTTTCAACAGTTCAAAATGGATAATTAATTTAACTTTCAGACTGGACATGAGGAAAAACTTCTTCACTGTCCAAGCCCCCAAGACCTGGAATAGACTGCCTCCAGAGGTGGTGTAAGCATCTACTCTGGACTCCTT